TTTTAATTTTATTTATTCATTTATCAGAAACAGAGAGAGGGCACAGCAGGGGGAGCAGCAGGCAGAGGGAAAGGGAGAAGTAGGTTTCCCACTAAGCAAGGAGCCTGATGTGGGGCTCCATCCCAGGACCCTGGGATCATGACCTGAGCCAAAGGCAGAGGCTTAACTGACTGAGCCACCAAGGCAACCCCCAGCAGAATTACTTTAAAAAAAAACAACCCAAAAAACCCAAACTCAGCTATTTTGAAAAAAAGAAAAAAATCATTTTAATTTGCATTTTTTTTTTTTTTTTACCTGTAAGTTGGACACTTTTCATGTGCTTATTGGATGTTTGTATTTTCTGGGAACATACCATCTACTCATAATTTTTTATCATGTTCTTAGTGCATTTCTAATAGTTTTACATTATCTGTTTATATATTACATATTTCCTTTTTGTGTTTATTTTTGAGATTCACACACATATTTTTAAGATTCACTAGATACACGCATATTTTTAGGACTCCTTGAAATGGAAAATTTTGACTTTAAAAAAATTGAAAATGAAAGTATCTGTTTTGTTTTTGTCTTGATGACCAACCACCAGTTGCTTCCCAAATATGGAAAACTGGAATACCAGGAGGCAGGGCAAAAAACATTTTTGAGAAGCAAGTATCATGCTACACGAATACTCTCTACCTTTAAATTTGGCGGACATGAACATGGCTTAGACGATTCTGAGGCCCGGAGTTTGATTGTTCCAATCTGGGCCCAGCATGTGCTTGTCACGTTGGCTTAGCTCTCATTAGAAAATTGTTAGAAATTTGTTAGAATGAGTGAGTGAGGGAATGGCTCATTCTTCATGTAGGATATAGGATAAAAACCAGTCTTGCAGTTTTTCGTTTGTAAATCAGCACCGAGCTTTGAAATACTACCCATCAGACTTACAGGGCTGTAACTTGGAGTAAATAGAGGCTTGTAACTGGGCAGCCTAGACTAGTTTGTCCTCAAGGAACTACACCCGGGGAAGTAATGAGAAAAAAGCATTTAGGAAGGATGCTGGACAACCATTGAGGATGCCTTATACATCTACCTGGTGGAGGAAAATGTCCCTCAGGCATTTCATAAGGATCTTATATGCAGAGTTCATGTTGCACATCGGGAATTCTCCTAAGTCATGAAAAGCAAAAGTGAAAGTTACAGGGCTAGATAGAGCGGAGAAGAGCTCAATTATTAATCATGCTCCCCAATCTGCTTACTATTGGCCTTTTTATGATTATGTCCGGGGCCTCCTGCTGGGATTTAGAGCACGATAACCCAGATCAAAATTACTTGTTTATAAAATTCCTCTGAATTCTGCTTACTATGTTATGTCGGCAGTTTAATGGAGACTAACTCATTTGCTTCCGTCTTTACACGTCCGCGTGGTGTGAGTTCGTGCTTCTTGGCAGTCTTTTCAAGCCTGAGAAGGTGGGCAAACTAGTCGCCTCATTATGGAGCCGCAGGCGAGGCCAGGGCTTATTCCAAGACCTGCTGACATGCCTTTCCAAGGTGGTTGGTGTGAGGGCAGCACGGTCTCCGTGGGTCATAGGATATTAATATATAAGGTACCAACGAGGCCTTGATGCTAAAATTTCTTAACTCCAAAATCTCACTCTTCTTGCAGATGGAAGGAAGGATAGGCTAAATATGAAGTAGCCTAAAATCTTTCCTTCACGTGGGGCTTAGTTTCCCTCCCGTATTCCATCAGCTGCCACTTAGGCATTTAACCAGAGAATTGTTCAGAGTTTCCTCTTGGATTTTGCTGGCTGTTGAAGCTGGCCCACAGGGAATCCCTGGCCAGGCCCGCATTCCTTTGGGTGAGCCTTGTGCAGTCTTCTTGCAGGGAGTACATTGTAACCAATAAAATGAATTAGTTGAATGAGTTCTTTATGCTCTTAAGTTGGGAATCCTTGGCCCATTCTACACCAGGACATCTCAGTCGTGTGTTTTGAAGGAGCTGAATTTGGATCTGGATTGGCAGAAAGTTTTGGAAAGAATATAGGTTTGTAGATTCAGACAGTTGTGGCTTCAGACAGCATTCCTGTCACCTCCCAGCTCTGAGATCTTGGGCAAACTGTCCTATTTCCTTATTTATAAAATGGGCATAATAGCACCTTCTTCATAGGGTTGAGGTGACTGTATGGACACAAGTAAAAGCCCATCTTAAATGTTCTCACTACTTACAAAAAAAGGGCAACTGTGAGGTAATGTGTTAGTTCACCTTATCATAATCATTTCATGATACATACTTAGATCAAATCATCACATTTTACATCTTAAACTGACACAGGGTTATAGTTACTTATGTCTCAGTAAGGCTGGAGGAAAAAAGGCCTAACACATTTGGCCCACAGGTGATACACAATAAGCATTATTGTCCACACAGTTTCAATACAGCCGACCTATCCCTTCTGGTGAGAATACTTTCTTTTTTTTTTTTTTTTTTAAAGATTTTATTTATTTATTCGACAGAGAGAGATCACAAGTAGGCAGAGAGGCAGGCAGAGAGAGAGAGGAGGAAGCAGGCTCCCCGCCAAGCAGAGAGCCCGACGCGGGGCTCGATCCCAGGACCCGGGGATCACGACCTGAGCTGAAGGCAGAGGCTTTAACACTCTGAGCCACCCAGGCGCCCCTGGTGAGAATACTTTCAAGTTTAACACTCCTTAAGGGGGTGTGAGGCTTCACTTCATCAGGAAATTACCTCATGTCATGTTTATTAAACAAGCACTGATTATGGACCAGATACTCTTTATGATCCAAAGACAATGACATGACCTTTAGCCGTGACAGAAATCCTGTAAATATAAAAATATGAGTGCCATGCTAAGTCCCATGGATAATCCATGAAGGAATGACAAATTCTACCAGGAAATCTGAGGCAAATCTGTACCACCTCACCCCACCGGGGCTGGGGGGCAGGGGAAGCACAGGCAAATTCAAAAATCAGACCTGAGGAAGTGTTCTTCAGTATTCAGCCTGCTCTAAGTAAAACCACCCACTCTGGCTCCCCACTGCCATGACGTGTGGGCCATTTGGAAAGACCAACACTGTCAGGTCACTGGCCACAGCCGAGACCATTGCTTTCAGTTCACGTTTCTCAGAGACCAGGCTTTCTGAAACAAGGTAAAACAGAAAATGAATTCTGCTAAGTTGCACTTGTGCTCAAGTCTTGTAGCTTCCTAATGGAAGCATGAGAAGCAGTTCCTAAGACTGAGGCCTAAGCATCTGGTACTTCCCTCTCTACTTACTGCTAAATTAGGGACTCAGTCCAAACAGCCTGGTTCCCAGGTGAGGAAGACATCCCCTGGAGAAGCCACCAGTGAGGGCCCCGGATTCAACTTCTCCACCACCTGTGCTGGTCTGTGGGAGCTCCACAGACCCTCATGCTGGAGGGCAGACAGGACTGAGGCCGAGGAAGCTCTCGGCAGGGCCTGCACGGGAACAGACTCGGGAGGTGGCCGGTGAGTGTCAGATCTCAGGACCAAGAACCTCCAGCAACGTGCACTGTCTGGATGGTGAAAGAACAGATCATTTGCTCCTGACATTTATAGACAGGAAACCACGGCTGCTCTTGATGAAAGTTTTAAAGATTCAAAGAGCTTTCAGAAGTGGAACAATTCCTTTTAAAGGCAAAGTGATTCTGCTGAACACTCGTCCTTGAACATGCTTAAATAAGAAAGGTTCAGCAGGAGTGGGAAGAGAGGTTTCCCTTAAGTATTAGAATGTACTCACTAAAATCATTTTCTTTTATAGAATAATGAACTTGGCAGTTTGCTCTAAACATGGAGAACAAAGACAATTGATACAATCCAACTTTATTTTACTTCATTATAACAAGACTTTTCAAAAACTCATGACTCTATGCTATTTCTAGCGTTTAAATACAAAACGTTCCAAATTTAGCACAAACAGCGTAAGCTAATGCATAAATGGATTTGGATGAAGTCCTGTGAACCAAATTATTCCTTTTTGTATGTTTGAAAGCAAAGTGTGTTGCCATATTGTTGAAAAGTCATAGGATGAGGCCCTGGGGTCTTTGGTGGGGAGGCCGGTGGGTCAAGTGAGAAACCCTGGGGTTTGTCCCTCCTGAGCTTTTAGCTCTGAGCGGACTGAGGGTGTGGCCAGCGGCTTGATGGGCAAAGCCAGTCCTTGGTCTATTCTAGTTTCTCTCATAAACACCCCGAAGCTAACTTTTCGGATGTGCTCTTTTCTAACATTGAGAAAGGGCTTTTCTTGGCTGCCAGGAAGCAGGGAGCAGGCTGTGATGAGTGATTATCTGGAAGCAGCCAGGCATAAGCTTAGATGCTTTGGAAAAATGGGGCGGGGTTGGGGGGGGGCAGAGAGACAGATTCTTCTTCCTTTTGTGGACTGGGGAAGAGGGTACTTGGTGACATTTTCCTGAGTCTGAAAGGAAGAATACAGGTTTGAAAGGTTTGGAATTGTACATTAAAACAGAGACACATCTATATTGGAAAAAAAAAAAGGCGTAAACACACTTTTATTTCAAATTAAGATTTCTGAAACTATACTAGTTGTATTATAGTCTGTAACTAAATAAGACATAGCACTAAAATAATTCAGTTAATTTTAACTTTTGAGGGTTTTAAAAAAAAGCACCACTTAAAACTTACATATTCCCCCCAAAAATTAAATATAGAAAAGTCGTTCTGTAGGAGTGAGTTTGAGAATGCACAAGGAAACAACAGGGCCAATTTTTCAACCTCTGGTTATTGATATGGAACACTAAATTCAAAGCCAGTTTGAGAATTTCCTACATTGCTCACTTACAGGAAAACAAAACAAAGAGTTTCATGGTAAATTTCTAGCCCTTGGAGGGCTAACCTGTTTTCCTGACTGTGGGTTACTGGCCAGATGACTTCTGAATTTTAACTTCATCATCCAAAAAGATAACATACAGGATTTCCAAGGGTTTTATTTTTTTGAGGAAAACTAAGAAATGACCACAATTGTAACACATAAAAAAAAAAAAAGTCGGAACTAGTCGTAACGATGTCTGAAAACTTTTAGTCTTAGATTTATTTTGAAACCAACTTCCAAACAAGAGGGAATGATGGAGCTGAAACTTGCTCCCACACCTTCCGAGCAAGTCCCTTTGGACTCATTTCCTTGTCACCGCAGCCAAGGACCGACTATGAAAGTCACTCCTGGGTGCTTGCTCAAGGCCTGTCCTCAAAGCCTCGCCCACACCTCCCCATCCCCCCAGTACCCCCCAGTCCCAGAGGAGACAGCGCTGGGGGCGGCGGCCGCCTCATCGCTTGGTGGAGCGCTTCTCATACTTCTCCTGGCCGCTGCGCTTCCTGTGCGGGGAGTGGCTGCCCGCGCCCCGGGCCTGGAAGCTGGGCTTGTAGGGGTGGCCTCTGTGCTGCTTCCGGTTCTCTTCTTTCTGGCTCTGGCTTTTCGAGGGTTCCTTGCTGCCCTCTTTTTGCTCAGGGTCTTGCTCTTTATGGGACGGCAGCGTGTTCTTGATTGTGTTAATCAGAAATCTCTTATTTGTACCAGCGAGAGGACACTTCATCCTGGGGAGGAAAAAGAGAGAACATTCTCAAACCGAATCACTTGCTCCAGAGCTGCACCCACCGGTCATGGGTTCCTGCCAAAGAATTCTGTGTCCACAGAATCAAGTTTCTGAATGCGTTCAGCTTTCCTTGCATGCCACCTAGTGTAAACTGTGAGTACAAGGGGGAAAAAGCAAGACACTTGGAATTCTCCAGTCCACCGAGCTGCCCCTTAGCTGAATACTTCACCCCTCTCTTCCTTATTGGGACTAACTTTCCCACCACTATGCCTGTGCAGGTCTTGGCCACAACGTGAAAGAACAGGATCCCTTCTATTTTCTCCCTGAATAATAGATGCCCGATTTGACTATAATCTGCATTTTTGAGCTAAATTGATCGTGGCTTGTTTTTAATTACCAAAGAGTGACAGTGAAGTCCCTCTCTGAGGAACAAAAAAAGTATCTGTTGCCATATCTTGGATGCTGGGGCTCAGTAGAGCAGAAAAAAAAATTATCCAAAGAATCTATGAAAATGCAATAATCACACTTTATCTTTAAAAGAATCTCACTTTCCATATCAGACTTATAGTTTGTGTTCTGTTGGGGGGGGGCACTTCAAGGAGGCCCATGCTCTGGGTCAGTTTCTGTGTAGTATATATTTAAGCAGCTGGTGATTCAAGTTTACCCAAGAGACAGGATGTAACTAATTAAATTATTATTTTGCATGCTTACGTATATACTACAGTATTATTTTTTCTTTTTCAAGTGCATAAAGCTTTCATTTGGGGGAAGAAAACCCCCCACACAGATGAGAACCTGCATATTTCTCTTGACCTTCGGCTGTCTGTTACACGATGGGCTATTTTAGGAGGATACTGACCCCCCCCAAATCATGTCACTCAGAGTGGCTGGCATTAAGCAAAGATGAATGTAGGATTCTAGAATCTCCATTTTTGTGTCAAACTTGGGATAAAAAAGAGAATCCCACACACTACTTTAAAATCAACCCAGCAGCGCCCCCACCAGGGCGATTTTATCGTCTAGGACCCTATCAGTGAAATGTGAGCAGATACTAGCTTCATGGCACTTACAGGGGTCAGACCTGCTCAAGCAATCAGAAATGGCATCGAACCTGGAAGTAAAATATGGAGAAAAAGAAGAGAAAATGTTTCCTGTAGCAAATAAGCAATTCTTGCGCCTCTAGGAACAGAGAAAATCACTGATTTGCACTCGATGTGCAAGCGTGCTTCGGGCTCAGGCCGGGAGAAGTGAGGAGAGAAGGAGCTAGAACAAGGAGAGAAAGGAATGGAGAGAGCAAGGGCAGAGGAGTGTAGTAGGAGCAGCGGGAACATTTAGAGGGGGTAGCGACCCTGGAGTTTTTGTTTTGTTTTTCTTTTAGTACTGGAGTTTAGAAGCCATGGTGAATGAGATGAGGAGTGAAGAAGAAAGGCAGTGACAAAGCTGTGATGTCGTGAGGGCACAACACCATGGAAGTCCCGGGAGCCCTATGGGGCTTCACTTAGCTTCTAGAGAGAGCAACCACTAGACCTAGATTCAGAAGAGTACGGCACACTGATGTCACCAAAGAGCATAATACGGCTGGCCGGTAGGACAGAAGTGCCCCTCTTTGCCAACTGTGGCCCCATGCTTAGCGCAGGAGCAGAATCGTTGGTACGAGTAAGTGGGCCACGTGTGTCTCTCGGCTCTGGGAGGCCGTGTCCAGCCAGCTCCACAAGTATTCTGCGATCTTTTCCCTGGAGTGGGCCAGCTCAGTGCTGGTGAAACTGGTCAGTCCTTCTCTGGATTAGACATATGAGGAAAGGCAAGTACTGCCAGATGGGACAATAATCAAAACAAAACCTTTGGTAACTCCTGGTGAATTCTGCTCTATTTTGCTCTCTTCCAAGGGAGATCACCTTTCCCACCATCCGCTCTCGTGCTGGATGAACAAAGCTCTTCCGCTAGAGACCTGCGGAGTTCCTGCTGAGAGTGGGGGAGTGGGGACCGCCCCGGAGACAGCAAGCGAAAGAGCTGTTCAGAGAATGAGAGGACTTTCTAGAATCAAGCCACAAGAAAAGTGGCCTTTTAACATTAGAGATGGGATTTTTAATGTTGGTTGTGCCTAAGAATCTATTCCAGGTGAGGAGTCAAGGGCAACTGGGAGAGAATTTGGTTCACCTGGCGGCGGTGGGGGCCGCTGAGAGTGACTGCTCCTGAACGTGCCAGGACATGCTTTCAAAATGACAGCGAGCGCGGACTTAACGCTTGTAATGAGTAAGGCAGGGCAGTGAGGTAGAGCGGCGGCTGCGAGCAGATATGGACGTACGAGTAGTTAATGAGTCCATATAGAGAAATTACGAAATCTGCAATGAAAGTATCACAGCGTAAGGAGTCTGACAGAGCTGCCAACATCTGTGGAAACCCGCTGGGAGGGAACTGCTCTAGCCTTCGGCTGGTAACTTATTTTGCTGAACCTCGCAGCTGGGTGTTCCATTGCTATAAACTCATACGACATGGTACTGGCCGAGCATACATGCTCTGAAGCCACACTATCTATCAGATTGAACCCTGAGCATGTTATATAGTCTCCCCATTGCCTCTTATCTGTTAAATGTGGGATCATAACAGTGACTATCTTCATGGAATGCTTGCCGACCAAATGAGTGAGTGCTTAGAATCATACTAATATATAACAAGCACTTGGTACACGTTAGCTCTGGTTTATATCCTGGCTCTCCTCATTAGCTGTGTGACCAAGGGCAAGTTACTTAACTCCCCTGTGCATCAGTTTTCCCCATTTTAAAACAAGGGTAATAGAAGTATCGGCCCAGTGGGAGGATTTATTGAGATAACGCTTAAAGCACTTAGCACAGGCCCCGGCCCATGGTAAATCCTCAGTACATGTTACCGATGGGTTCTACAGTTTCTTATCCACCATTCCAAAACGTTAAAACCTTTGAAAATCAAGTTCTCTATATGATGCTGAAACTCGTTTGGCAGCAAAACCTGGCCTAACCTGACACTGGGCTGTTTATGTCTAGTCTTTATCGCAGTTAGCATAAGCGTATGTGTGGGGGCAGAAATGATAATGTGTTGAACAAGAACCCCTGGGGGCATTCGTAGTACATACTGGGTGTGCTGATGTATCTTTCTAAAATGTGAAATTATCTCAACTTAGAAATTGGAGGGATTCAAGGGTTTTCAACAAGGGATTGTGGACCATTATTATTATATTATTATTCACTCTCTTCATGACAAAGAATATAGATAGCACATCAGTTAATACAGCGGGGACTTCTCCTTGAGAGCAACTCAAGATAACATACTAAAGTCTCAGACGACCTGAGAAAAGAAGCTAATCAAGAACAGAGCAGGCTAGCTGATGTTCCTCAATGAAAAAAATTAAAAACAAACAAAACCTGAGCCATCAGGAAAAAGTTAATGAGATTTTATAGAAATTTTCATAAAAATGGTTAAAATGAAAAAGTGTTAAAATGGTTAAAATTGTTAAAATGAAAAAGCCACCTGACTGGCTCAGTCGGTTAAGCTTCCGATTCTTGGTTTCGGCTCGGGTTCTAGTCTCACGACTGCTGGGATGGAGTCCAGTGGTGAGCTCGCACTCAGTGGGCTTCAGATATCCTCCCCATTTGCTCCCTCTCCTGCTCGCACACATGCGCACTCTCTCCCTCTTATAAATAAATCTTAAAAAAAAAAAAGTTTTGGTGGGATGCCTGGGTGGCTCGGTCATTAAGCATCTGCCTTGAGCTCAGGTCATGATCTCATCGGGCTCCCCACTCAGACAGGAGCCTGCTGCTCCCTTTCCCACTGCCTGCTACTCCCCCTACTTGTGCTTTCTCTCTCTCTGTCAAATAAATAAATAAATAAATTTGTTTAAAAAAAAAAGTTTTGCATTTCCTCATACTGTGTAAGCCCTGTAGATGCTCTTCAAATAGAACACTGAGGGCTGGGGTATGTAGGTGATTTCCGAAGTCTGTCCCAGTTTTAAAATTCTCTGCTTGTATTCTGCCTGTTAACCCTTTAGAAAATTACTCTCCTCTCATTCATCCCATAAGAAAATTCATTTCTGGGCCACCTGGGTAGCTCAGTTGGTTGAGCACCTGACTCTTGATTTCAGCTGGGATCACGGTCTTGGGGTTATAAGATCGAGCCCTGCTTTGGGCTCTGTGCTTGGCGTGCAGTCTGCTTGGGATTCTTTCTCCCTCTTCCTTTACCTCCCCAGCAATAAATAAATATATAAATACATAAAATCTTAAAAAGAAAAAAAAAAAACTCATTTCATCGATGTGTCTTGTTTCTCAGCTCTTTCTTGGTGCCATTTCCCCCCAGACTTGAGATGACATGATAAGCTCACGTTAGGTATGCACCACTCCAGAGCTTTTCATGTCTGCATGGAGGTAAAACCCAGGCCCTAGAGTGAGAGCACAGGCTGGGGCTGCTCAAGGTGCCTGCACTATATAACATCACTAGCTATGTCCCGAGACATGCTGCTGGGGTTGGGGACCCAAGAGGCCACCAGACGGAGCGGCTGCTTCCCTGTCTGCAGCTCTGACCCACACAATGTCAGCTTCCTCACCCTGGCCAGCTGTTTTTATTTTTGGTTTTAGAAAGGTATATTAGCTCATGTGGAAGGAACTGATTTAAGTATAAACAGATACAAAACTCTAAATATAATGAGACCGCTTACAGCTGCACTGGGAGTACTGAGGACAGCACTGTCAGACATAAGATCTGGCATCCTCACTCTGGTAAACTTTAAAAGGCAAGTGCTTTACTTCACTTCCAAAGCTGTCAGCCCAGCTATGGAGGCTTCTGCATGCCCCAGGAGAGGTAGACTTCTGGAGAATCTGCCATTAGAGAGACCTGCAGACTGATTGAGGCTGGGATTGTAAGCTTTTCATCTCTCTCTCTCTCTTTTTGAATGAGTACATGATATAACAGAATGTGTAAAAATAAGGCACTCCTCCTTGCAATTATCATATTTGACTTAGGAAAAACAGTAGA